TTCCAGGAATGCTACAGCTTCTGATTACCTTACGTGTTTATGCTACAGGGAGTTTTTATATAACTTTAGGCGATTTCGCAGGCTTACATAAGTCCACAGTGTGCCAAATAATAAAGAAAGTTACTCATTCCATTGCTTCACTGAGTCCGAAGTTTATTCGTTTACCGCAAAACGAGGAAATTGTAAAAGTACAGGAAGAATTTTACGATATTGCCCGATTTCCTCGCGTAGTTGCCGCTCTTGATTGTACCCACGTAAGGATTATTTCGCCAGGTCAGTCCAATTTATATTTCTTCGCAAGGAATTTTTTTACTAGTTACATGTCCTTACCTGAAATGCAAAAGGCCGTGGCCCACATATTCACCTGAATTACAAAAGGCCATAACTAACAAAAAATCCAGAACTAACTTTCCATAATTAAAATGCATTTCATCGATACAGAGCTTTATGCAAAAATAATTGTTAGTTACGGCTTTTTACAGTTCAGGGGGCGATATATGTACATATCGCAAACCGTGTTCAAAAGAGTCACAACTCAAAATTTGGAATTTTTGAAATTATGCGCAAAAATGTACAGAGCTTTTATTTACCTTTCAGCAAAAGCTGGAGCAAATTTTTGTTATAATTTGTTAAAAGAAAAACCTAAGGTAAAGTCGCCCTTGCCCATATGATAAGCATGTGCTACGAAATAATTTTTCGCATTTTCTGACGAACGTATTATTTTGAGTTGTGACTCCTTTGAAGACGGTGTGCGATATCGACTGCTGAGTGGAAAATCGACCTATCTCGGCAGCCAGTTCAAGAACGTCCCATCTCAAAAACCTTTTAAAAACGCTCTATTTCATAATTGAAAAACTCCGTTTCTCAGAATTTGATTGAAGAATGCCATATTTCATAATTCGGTTGAAAAACGCCCTATCTCAGCTGCTGATTCAAGAACGCTTTATCTCAAAAAATTTTCATTATATGTATTTTCAACTGAGATAGACCGTTTTTAATCGGCTGCCGGGATACGTCGACATTCCACTCAGCAGTCGATATGCGGATTCCAAAACACATTAATGCAAAGCACTCAGACTTTCTTTTACTTCTAAACCATATCTACTCAGAGAGGAATTTTAGTTTTCAACTGTTGCGCAAATCGGAAAGTGTTTTAATTTTTGGGAATGAAAGAGCCTGATGCTTTGCCTTAATGCCAATGTTGTGTAATCCACCTTACATACACATCGACTTGTATATATGTATGTACTTACATATATTCATACCTATACTTCAGGTGGAGATACAGCGGAAAACTTTAGAAACAGAAAATGTTATTTCTCTATAAACGTCCAAGCTATGTGCAACGCAAGACTAAAATTTCAAAATATAGTTGCGAGATGGCCAGGATCTACCCATGATAGCATGATATTTTTGAATTCAGCGGCTAAATGGCATTTCGACAACAACAATTTCAACAATGGTATAATTCTTGCAGATAGCGGGTACTTCTTAAATAATTATTTAATTACACCTCTTACGGCGCCACAATCTCCAGCCCAGCGCCTCTACAATGAATCCCAAATAAGGACAAGGAATGTGATAGAACGTTGCTTTGGAGTATGGAAGAGACCGTTCCCAGTGCTAAGCATCGGCATGAGGTGTAAATTACCATTAGTACAAGACATAATTGTGGCATCGGCAATAATACACAATCTAGCAATCGAAATGCATGAAGAGGAGCCGCCAGTTGACCCCGAAGTAAATGTTCAGGTGGAACTAACTTGCCAAAATATGGAGTTCGTAATTTCAGATGATAGTGATACACGAAACTCATTGTTAGAATATTTCGAGTCATTAATTAGACTTTGAGTTTATTAAATAAATAGTATGTACATACATATGTATGCAAATTTTCAGTACAAAAATTCCTTTATTTTAATATGGTGCTTATCATAACTTTGCTACACTCACATTTTGACAAGAATTGACTATTCATTTTATATAAATCCAAGTACAAATATTTACGAAAGTTTGTTGGTTTCTTTTTAAATGTTGCACAAATATTGAAACTTGGATTTATACGGGTAGAATAAACTATACTTTTATAAAAAAATAATAAAATTAATAGTCCATTCTTGTCAATATGTGAGTGTAGTAAAGTTATGATAAGCCCTGTATTTGATAATGGTATTTGCCCCGATTTAGAAATTTTTGCTTAGGTTTAAATGATGCAGTTCTTCTTTACTCTTTTCTTCATTAATATAGTGAGCCATTCGAAATTCATGTTCTGATGTTTTTTGTTCCATCTCCTTTTTCTTATATTCCATTTCTTTGAGAGCCATATCTTTTTGCAGTTCTACCAATTCGATTCTTGCTTCCGTAAGGTGATCAAATTTGGACTTTTTTACATTCTCCGTCTTTTTTGGTTTCTTCAAAACAGGTGTGATTGGAGTTTTTAAGGATTGAGGAGACCACCCGTCCCAATGGTTTTCGTTATTGACTATAAAATAATATAATGAAAACACATTAATATTGCTTGCATAAAATGTAAGTGAGTCAAAATTTGTGAAGTGAGCCACCATTTTTTCAAAAGTCGAGTTTTTTGTGTGAAAATGTTTATGGTTCCAAACGCTTAAATAAAAGGTATTTAAGTTATCTTTAAATTGGCATCAATACTTTTCTGATATAAGGAAGTACTTGGAAGAACAACTCCACAGCAAACTTTTCAGGCTAGAGCTAAAAGCCTAAAAAGCTTGTAGTGGTGTTCCACTTTTAATGTCTCTCCATTTTCGCACTCGGTTTGTGTTCACCCTAAATATCCATAATCAAAAGCTGTTGGAGTAGCACTCCTTTGTGCCGGAAACTACGAACTCAGCAAAACCCCAGGCTTACCAGCGGCGCCAACGTCAACATATGCACGCAACGATTGCATCGAACACAACGCGCCAGCAATCAAAAAGGGCTCCAAGTGTTCCTAGAGAAATTCGTTGTGTAAACGTACGCATAAGTACATTTTCATGAGTTTTTTACAACCAAAGCCATGTGGATTTTCCATTGTTTAGAGAATCATTGCAACTGTTCGATATATTTTGTTCAAATAAACTATTTAAATATATATTTATTGCAATAAATAACAACTTCAATGTACATATGTATGTATTTTTGTTTTAAGTTTTGAAAAAATTTAAAAAGTCAATATATTCCATTTTAGTATGAAACCACGCAATTTCTCCAAAACAGTATTTAGGAAAGTTGAGTGTTTTATTATTCTTACGTCAGGAACAGATTATTGGTGCTATTATTGTATGTACCTACCAAGGTTTAAAAACTGATTTATTAGTATTTTTAGTTGTTTCAAATGCAAAATACTACACTCAGTAAATACGTGTAACACAATTGTTTTGGTGCTACCAAATTTTGTAAGTGAAGCTACGGTACGGTTTAGTTTTTGTACAACGATTTTGTGTTGCTATTTTTGCTAAATTTACTATATCTGTGCACTATTTTTATACCCGAGCGCACTCTTGCACAAGGGTATTATAACTTTGTTCACATAACGGTTGTTTGTAACAGGCAAAACGAATCGAGATAGATATAGACAAATGTATACATAAATGATCAGAATGAAAAGAGAAATCGATTAAGCGGTGACTGTCTGTCCGTCCGTCCGTCCGTCTGTCCGTCCGTCCGTCCGTCTGTCCGTCCGTCTGTGCACACGATAACTCGAGTAAAAATTAAGATATCTTAACGAAACTTGGTACGTGTACTTCTTTCGGGCGTAGGACGGATGGTATTGAAAATGGGCAAAATCGGACAATAACCACGCCTACCTCCCATATAACGGTAATTTTCAGAAATAAAAAGCTGCGATATTTTAGTAACTACTGAAGATAATTCACTCAAAATTGATATTTATAATAAATTTTAGACGAAAAATAAGAATATTAAACTTTTTTGAAATTGGGCGTAGCCACGCCCACTTATGGTTACATGTGTATATCTTGGTAACCGCTGCATAATTTCATTCCAAACTTGGCACAGTTGTTGGCCCTGGTACAGCATACAAAATGGCTGAAAATTTTTAAAATCGGACAATAACCACGCCCACATCCCATATAACGGTAATTTCGAAAAATACGAAATCCTCGATAAATCAGTAAATATTAAAGCTAATTTATTCAAAATGATGGTTGCAACAATTCTTTGCCAGGAAATACGTTTATGATAAAATTTTGGAAAATGGGCGTGGCACCGCCCTCTTATGATCACGTATATGTATCTCGCTAACCGTTCTAGCAATTTGTACCAAACTCGGTATGGTTATTGTGCTTGCCACATAAAAGTAAACCATTGAAAATTTTTGAAATCGGACTAAAATTACGGCCGCTTTTCATATAACGGTTAATTTCAGAAATGCTTGAGATTTCAATATTTTGAAATTTAAGGACGCTAGTACACGCCGGCTTATCATGTAGCGGTAGCTTTCGGAAAGGTGGAAAACATATATTTAATACTTGCGCCGGGTATTTAATGTTCGGCTGTGTTTCTAGCAGTAAAGGGAAATTCGCAACGTTCCGAATAAATAAAAAAAATATTTTCCGTACGTTTGAAAGGCACTTAAAAATGCGTATACTTTTCGTCACGAAATTGATATCATAAATTTTGTGTTTCTAGTTCAGCTTTCGTCACTCGAAAATTTTACCTCAAAGAGGTGTTTAATTTGATATCAATTATTTTGGGGTAGCAAATTTAAAATCGACGAAAATACAAACAATAAACTAAATGTTTTTTTTGTCTCAAGTAAATTGCTAATAATATTCTCTAAATCTAAATTATGTATTCAAATCGATGTGTCCATTGTAACACATAGTTTTTCGAATACGGAATAAAACGAAAAAGGATGATCAAGGATATGGTAATATCAAGGATGATATGTATTCGAAAAAAATAAAAAATAAAAAAATATTAGAAATGATAAAAACTTATCAACTTGGTACCAACTTTGGATACAATAAACGACTGTATTCGTCTGATTGCCGCGTAGTTTAATTGTTGATAAGATTTCTACTGGGAGTGGGGCGCACACATGTGCTTTTTTTAAGAAGTTTTACTTCTATCGTGTGTACGGTGTTGCACTCGTGCTATTAAACTGATGATTTTGTCTCAAGTAGTTTTGCTCAGTGGCAATTTATACATAGTATGTAAGTAGTAGCGGCACATTGGGTGAACTAAATGCATTCATACATACATATTTATGTACAACTCTAGGTAAATACCAGGTAGGTTAAGTTCGGATGATAGACCCATGTAGCATAGTTAAATACTGTGTAGATACCTGCAATTAAAATGGGGGAAAATGTTACAATTTCGGCATGTGACTGGAAAAAAACCTTTAAAATGCACACATATTGTGGTTTCCACGACATGTACTAAGTGATTAGCACAGCTGCATCCTTCAACTTGTCAACTCGCGGGAAATTCACCTATTTGCAGGGAATTTCGGTTTAAGTAGCAATCGGGGAATGGGCAATTTTTTTCGGGGAACTGGGTATGTTATTTTTATATCTTAAAGTAACGAAATTAGGCGGATTTGTTAATTTTTAACCATTTGACCCTTTTTGGAGCGACATTTTTTAAATTTGAATAGGAATATCGCCACAACAAGAGTCTTCCCAGATATAAGCTATATACCAGATGAAAGCACACATGACCTTTACCCACATTTAACACCCGTAGGGGTTAAATATTTCAACGACGAGCACTCTTCGTATGCTATTAGCTTAATCTTTCGGGCGAGAGGTGGTTTGCTTAACCTTAATGCGAGATCATTAAAAAACGTAACCTCTGTTATATGTCCAGTTTGTAACCTTGGCGATGCGGAAAGTATTTACCACTTTATCGGTGTCTGCCCAGCCTACAACTCGTTTGGATAGCTTCGGTGAAAAAGTTTTGGACCTGGCAAGAGTGATAAACATTTTAAATGGCGGTGATTACGAAGCGTTGTACAAATATTTGCAAAACAGCATTAAATATAGGGATTTTATTATTAATGAATTTGCGTAAGTAGTTTATGTTAACTTAATATGTTAGTTCTAGTGTGGCACTCAACAATATTAGTTACTGCCATAATTTTTAATTTATTTTTAAATTCCATAATATGTGTGTATAATGTTGTAAATGTGTGTATTCGAATTGCTAAAAAAATAAATATACTACTACTATACCAGATGAAAGCCAAGGTTTTGCGCTAGACTTGTGGAAACTTAGAATAAAATCGACTGACCAGTTTTTGAGAAAATTCCCGAAATCTTTATTTTCAGCAGCCCGATTTTTAGTTTTCAGGCGATAACGTTATGACGTATTTATAGTTTATAAACACAAA